GGGGTACCGCGCCCGCACCCCTGGGCAGGGGGAAAGAACCAGAGAGTAGTGCGGTTTGGAAGGGACCTCTGGAGATGTGCTGCAGCCCCTGGGGGTTGAGGTCCCGGGCTCTGGGCGCTGGCAGCAGGGGCTCGTAGCCCAGCCAGCACCGTGATTATCCACCCGAGGCACGGAGCCTCACGGCCACCCCGAAAGAGCCCAGAGCTGAGCGGTGCCTGCCCGTGACATCCCTGCCCATAACAAAGCAGCCACAGCATCCAAGCAAACTAGACTGTGTTGTATTTACACTCATGGAGGGAGGAAGGAACAGGGAAAAGGTCGGTGGTGGGGAAGCAGGCGGCTGTGGGTTTTCCCGCTGGATCCGTGGGAGCTGCTGCACCTCCCTCTTGGGTCGTCGCCCTCGGGCGAACACCAGGCAAGAGCTGGCTGCAATTCCTGCTTCCTTCCCCGAGTGCAACGGATCATCCTCAGCCAAAACCTCACTGGCAAACCCAGCCTGGCCACGCACCAGCTCTGCACTGACAGCCCAGGTGTGTCCTGGGATAACACGTGTGGCCACTCCCTGCTCCGGATGTGATGTCGATGCTATCCAGAGGCAAAAACCTGAGAGAAAGGCTGGCAAGAGGCAGCCTCGCTCTCCTCTGCACTTGCAGGGGGTTTGCATCAGTTTTGGAGGTCCAGATCCTCCTGGTAATGCTGTGCTTTGGCTGGATCAGACTGGAAAAACCAAACACTCAGAAGGATCCCCCCACCAGTACCAGAGCAGAATTGCCACAAGTAGGCCAGGAAAACAGCACTTGGAAGAAGTGGCCGTGATTTCCCTCAGCTGCTGCAGGCCCTGCTGCTCTGCACTCCGAAGCTGAGGGAAAGGCTTCCAAAGCGTGGGATGGCCAGCAGTGGGGCAGAGGCTGCTGCTTGTCCCCTGGGATGCATCTGGATTTTCCTGCTTGTGAGATCCAGAGCCTTGCGGCCACAGCCCCACTCCTAGTGTTCCCAGGGATCCATCCAGGGCAGGCACAGGCCCTGCAGGGTGCACAGGTGGCTGTCCCTGAGCCCCAGGTCTTCCCAACAGCCCCAGAGCCCTCCATGTGCTCTTTCTGGAGGGCCTCCAAGCCTGGCATTTGGCTTTCCTTACACTTCCCTACATGTGTGTGTGTCCACGTCCCAGAGCCTTTCAGGTGCCTTTTGGGGTGCTTGAATCCTTTGAGCATGTTCATTCTGGGGAGAACCTCAAAGTTCTCCTTCTGCCTTCCTTTGCACCCCAGAGCCCTCCCTGAGTCTTCAGCACCCCAGGGAACTCTGTGAGTTTCTCAGTGGGCCCAGAGCCCTCCAAGCCCCTCTCCCTGCTCCCCAGGACTTTCCATGGGTGTTTCTGAGCCACCACCAGCACTTTTGGGCACCCTGAGACTCTCCTCATGCTTTTCCTGTGCCCTGAGGCCTTCCATGTGCCTTTCCCTGTGCCACTCATAGAATCATAGAATCATCATGGTTGGAAGGGACCTTTAAGATCAGTAAGTCCAACCATTAGCCTGTCACTGCTGTAACCCCTAAACCACATCTTACAGATCCACACACCTCTTCAACACTTCCAGGGCAATATTCCCACACTTCCCTTGGCAATATTCCAATGCCTGACAATCCAAACAATGAAATTTTCTTTGCTAACACCTAATCTGCCTCTTCCCTGTCTCAGATCAAGGCCATTCCTAGTCCTCCCACGGCAGATATGGTAGAAGAGACCACCCCCCACCTCTCTAGAACCCTTTCAGGTAGAGAACCATCAGGTCACCCCTGAGCCTCTTCTCCAGGCTAACCAAGCCCAACTCCCTCAGTCCTTCCCCATGTGCTCTGCCCTTTGCTGCCCTCGCTGCCCTTGGCTGGACTCGCTCCAGTGCCTCAACAGCCTTTTTGCAGTGAGGGGCCCAAAGCTGTGACCGGGTACCTCCCCAGTGCCAAGTCCAGGGGGAAGAGCACTGCCCTAGTCCTGCTGCCACACTGTGCCTGAGCCAGGCTAAGATGCCCTTGGCTTCCTTGGCCACCTGCAAACACTGCTGGCTCACACTGAGCTGCTGTCACCAGCACTCCAAAATCCCTGTCTGACCAACAACTCTCGAGCCACTCCTCCCCCAGCCTGGGGCTGCATGGGCTGCTGTGTCCCACGGGCAGGACCAGCACTGAGCCTTACTGACCCTCCTGCAGTTGTCCTCAGCGCACTGATCAAGCCAGTCCAGCTTTCAGAGCATCTCCTCAGGAGCTGTCCCTGCCTCTCAGTCCACAGGGAGGAAGGAGGCAGGAGAGAGGGCAGCTGGGTGGGC